GAATATTTTCGAAGCGTTGACCTTCGCTTCTCCTCTGCACTTCCATCGTCGAAAAAGTTGGCATCGATTTTATGCATTCCTCGCTCGTGGGAAAAATAATATTGGGTTGTTCCGAAAGTTTCTTTCGCGAGTTGCACTCAATTATTTTCTGTGCTCGTGTTTATAGAAATAGACGATCTAATTTCATAGATATTCATGTTGTAATGGAGCAAAATGAATCGTGCACAATTCAGTAATGTAACATAAACCATAAACTATTGTGCGTGTATTACTTATTAATAAAGCGAAAGAAACTTTTGGGACAACCTAATACAATGATTCTTCGAGCAATCCCATCGGTTGACGACTCAAAGAATTATTATTTCATTATTCTTTCCACGTGTTGTGGTTTCGAAGATACCTACGATTCCAGTGGTACACCCTGTATATCGTAGAACGCTAGAGAAGTAGAACTATCTTCGTGGCTGAGAAAATTTTCTTCTCTCGTCATTTACGTCGGGGATATTTCGGTCGCGTGTTATAAGTGGATATTCCGCGTTGGTCCTCCGCTTCCCATTATATTTGACGCTTTGATCTCCGAAAGTGTTGCGTCTACGCTGCACCGACGGAATTCGAGGCTCCGATGAAACGTTTTCGACTCAAACTACGAGAACAATCGATTCGAATCAGAAGTTTAATCATTCTAATATTCATTAAAAAATTACGAGAAATTGTTTCTACGGAACTAGACGCATCTGAACACTAGACAAGCGTTGTATTCATCCCATAGGGTTAACCCTTTGCGTTCGAGACATTTTTTTTATAGTAAAACGAAAAACTCTATTTCGAGAAGAAACATCTACGAACATTCGTGACTCAATGTATCATCATTTCAATTAACACGTTGAACGCCACGTCACCCACGTATGGGTGACAGAGATTTTCGCTAAGGAACTTCAGCAGTTCATTTTAAGAGCTAATGTATCAATGAAAATAAGTCTGAATAGAATTCGTAGATTTGAACGACGATACAAAAATAAGTAGCACGACAAATGTCAGATGCGTTAGTTTACAACTGTCTCGATACACAATTTTTAACCCTGTAGGCATTCCCTTGGGAGTCAGTCCGGCAGTAAACGTGTTAATAATTACCTGTATCCTGAAATAAATAAAATTGCTATTGTACCTTCAAAAAAAATCACTTTTTAATTACATATGTCGCCCCAGAGGCGCCACACGAGCGCAAAGGGTTAATCGAAACGTCCGAATCGCTCGCTCGATTCCTTTCTCTCTTATCTGCGAGCGAGTGGCTGCAGTCGCGCGATAGATTCGGCCTTCTGGCGTTACACAGGCATCGACGTATCAGTGTTTCTAGCACGATACGCATCGGCGATGTTAACGCGTACACTCGGCTCTCGATCGCGGCGTCCGACAAGACGTGTCCGCGCGCGATGACTCAGGCTGACTGGCTAAACTCGCTCGGGATTCGCACGGCGTGGAATCGTTGTGCTCGTTAAGCCGGTGCGCTTCTTGCGAAACGCCCGGCAAATTGATGCACGTTTAAAAAGCGTGACGTTAAAGAGCGTCCCGGTGAATACCGCTCGCATGACATCGTAATCGATAAAACGAGCACGGTTTTAATTTACGCTCGCGTTAAAAATAGCCGACGCGCCGGCTCGTCGATAAACTATCTGTCGCATACCTTTCATCGTATAAATATTCACGCAGAAAATAGTTATGGAATGAACGACGTGGCGGATCGGATTTTTTTTTTTTATTCTCGTACGCCTTGTGTAGCCTGATCTAATTTAGGACTTTTCAAATTACTCGAAGGTGTACTGTGAAGGTGTACGGTCTTCTAGAATTTCTCGTAAATTTCAACTTTTGATTATTACAAAATTGAAGCGTTCCACGATGAACGAGCAAAAGAATAAAACTTTGCCTGTCTCTGTCCGTGTATCAGCCGTGATTCCGTTCGCGTTTCGTCCATCCGCAACGGCATTATACGGTTGCGTTTTATGCGCGCATATCGCATTCCCGACAAAAGGTGCAGCGCGAGAAGGAGTCGCGGGACAAAAGCTCGTAAAACGCTCGTTAAAGGCGCGAGACACGCGCGGGATCGGCGAGGGGGAGGGGGAGGAGGGGGCGGGCGGGCGAATCCAAGCGATTGCGCGTAATCAAAAGCCAGAACACGGCATTCAGGCTCAATCAGAGACTGGCTGCTGCCATTGGTTCGTTGACTTTCTCTTCCTGAACTCTTAACCCGTGACGCTTAATCTCCTTTTTGTTCTTCGGTCTGCTTCGCCACGGATTCGCGATTCACTCGGCCCTAGAGCTTATTCCCAGCAGACGATCCTATCCGGCACGATCATGTCTCGGTTATCGATCGAATTTGTCTGATACTAATCGAGACTACCAAGTGTGCTTCGAGTGAGATGGTCGATAGTTTCGTTAGATAGGTTCAAGGTTCATGATTCAAGGGTCAAACGAGACACTAATAGAGATCGCATTCCTGAAGGACGAAGCTTACACCTGGAAGCCTCGATTGCTTTACCTTGTTATATCCGCGATACGATGTCACATAAAACACCTCGACATTCGTGGCTTCCATTCGTCGATGGCATTCCTCCATAAAGAACTCATTCCTAGGAAAGATCCACGCCGAGGTCGGAGCGTTTATCCTTCGACTTCGTCATCGAGTATTTCAGGAATGCTCGAGATCTGAAAGAATTTCCTGTTTCGTCGCTGCTGAACGATGACGCGAGTAACGGGGTAAACAGAACACGTGGCTTGACATTTGCTCGTTCGACTCGATTAGCATAGTAAATCTTCTTCTGGGACGAGACTATAATTAGATCAGCGGTCTCTGTTCTCGACGTGCCTTCTCTCTTACCTCGATTATCATCGATGCATCTTTTCTCGCGACCCGTTAGTCCGACCTTGACACGATCCTCGGGAAAAACACCGTGCAAGCGCGTGGTTTTTCCTCGCGAGCTAGCAAGCCCGCAAGGAATTCCGATCGGTGCATCGAGGAAAAAAGATTCCTCGCGTTATTGCTTGAAAACCTGAAACTTGACATGCTTGACTCGTTTTAGTTACGATGGAGTGTAACGTTTGAAAATTGGAGTTGTACGTTAGCAATATGGTCAGGTAGAGAATTTTGTCTGGAGTCGCTAGAAGAGGACCGTGTTGAAAAATCGTGACCTAACCTCGGCTAAAGTATCGAAATCCAAAGTTTCAAGAACCGCAGCCTTACGCGCGTCGCGTCGCTGAGTCACGGGTGCTGTTCGCAGTTTATTTTATCGGTGTTAAGGCCCGATAACTCGTTGACTGCAATTCTCTCTGATCTGCGTCACGTGTTTTGGCAGCACCGAGAACTGTTTGTTTCGGTATTCGTAGACTATTATTGATGCGACGTGGCTATTTGTCTACGTAGATAAAAGTAAGTGCATTTTCATAGACGGCATGACATCTCGTTAAATAGAAATCGGTCTTATAAACATTCCCAGTTAATTTCGATTGCGCGAAGCACCTCTTCTAAATTGTAAACTGCCTCGAAATGGGCCGGTAGTTAAAGTGTTAACGAGATCGTGGATCGTTGGAAACAATTGTTGCTCGGCTCGAAACTAGGCCGTTTGCAGGCACACCCGCGGTGGATAATGCAATCAAACGATTGGAATGTCAACACCGACAACGGATTATCGGATTCCCTTAGAAGCGACCAGCTTGCGATAACACCGATATCGACTACAACGCCTACGCAATCGCGTTCCTGGCAAACTGTTGCCGCGATAGACCCGGTTAGCAGCTTTGCTGGATGAAACGATTACAAGCATTCGTGGATCGCACATTGCTCGACTAACCATCCGAGATAGGCAAATACTGTTCGAGTAACGGATCACGAATTAAAAACTCTGTACAGCGATTTATTTAGGGTGTTTGTTTGTTCGTCCATAAGATATTTCGTTCCGTGATCCATTCTTTATCCAAATTAGAATTTTGACCAGACCTCCGCTAGCCATCGACTATTACCGATTCCGATAGAGTTAAACCGGTGGATCTCGATCGTCTCGCGTTTAGGTTTTAGATCGATTGCGTAGATGAAAATCCGACGGAGATCTTCAGACTCCGCTTACCGGATTAGAACGTCTACACGTGGAAAATCCCCGTCACGCAGATGGTCGTTATCGGTTTCGCAAGTTGTACATAATACTCTCGCTCATACGGCGCGCATATCAATAAGAGACGATAAGACAACTGGCGCGTAATTGCTTAGACGAAAGAAATACTCGCCCGTTCTTCTCTGTTTCGAATTCTCGATAATTACGCAATCGCGCAATGGACGAAAGTCGCGACCACCACCGCGCGAAGACACATTCGAGAGGGAGAGCAACCCTGGAACGAGAACGAAATCTCGCCGTGGATGTCGGCAACCAGCCGTAGCACCCGCTGCGAGAGGGTTAAAAATAAGCAGGCTTAAAATAAACACGTATTTTGCCGTCGAACCTCACGAAATGTTCACGTCAGCGCATCTCGGTGCTTTCTCCTCGTCGAAATCGTGGGAATGTTTGCACGAAGAGAAGGCAAAGTCTAAAAAAATGTTCTATACGTTAAACTGTTCAGGCTCTTAGACGAAGCTCTTTTAGACAAAGAAATTCCACTATGTGGGGGACCAAAAGATTTTCTTTGTCAAAGAATCCGTGAAAAGTTGAAGCGCGAAAAATTACCAAATCGCTTCGCATAGTTTTTATTTGTCATCTATTGTATCGTAGAAGTAAGACTCGTCGCGAAACCGATTGGCAGTCTTTATCGAAGTAGGTGTCTTACTATGCAGCCACTGCACCCCAAAGCTCGTTTAGACAAAGAAATTCCACTATGTGGGGGACCAAAAGATTTTCTTTGTCAAAGAATCCGTGAGAAGTTGAAAATTACCAAATCGCTACGCATAGTTTTTATTTGTCATCTATTGTATCGTAGAAGTAAGACGTCGCGAAACCGATTGGCAGTCTTTATCGAAGTAGGTGTCTTATGTTCCACAGAGAAATATGCAGTCGACCTCGATGGGGTGGAATACGTTTATCTCTCTGCCGCCTCCTGGCAGCAGGGCACACACCGCGCCTCATTCAGGGATGACGGCGCACGTGGGCCATCATCATCCGGGAGCAGGCGCGACGAGCGCGCATCCAGCCACCGTGGCGCAACAACAGCAACGCGAAAGAGAGGAACGGGAACGCGAAGCGAGAGAAAGGGACGCCAGGGAGCAGAGACAACGAGAAACCGAGAACATGGGAATAAGGGAACACCTGGTCGCGGCCGAGAGACTGCACAGACAAGCCGAGGCCAGGGATCATGTTGCTGCTCAGCAGAGGGCTGCTTACTATGCAGCCACTGCACCCCAAACTCAACAGGTACGTGTACATCCTTGAGATATCGAGCGAAATAAAAATATTAGGTAGACTGGAAAGTAACGTCGTTCCTTTTACATTAAATTCAAACAAATTTTTGTTAAATGAGGGAATGTTATGCGTAGATGCATGCGGCATAGTGCAGGCGAGTAGTGCAGACGAGAGTGGGCGTGTGTTAATGGGAATCGAAACCTTACGCGTCGCGACGGGAAAAGAATTCACACTTATTCGCCATATTCATTATTATTATTATTATTATTGTTAATAAATAGTTTTAGAGTACGAACCGCCTTTTTCGGCACTCTCTCAACCACATCCTACGTAAATTTCTATTTTTAAGCAATTATGTAATCGCCCTAGTTATCAACAGTCATCTAGTCTGCAAATTTTCAATGACCGATCAAAATCAACGAGCTGTTGAGTGATAAACAAGGATTTAAAATTGCAAAAACGACGTTACTTTCCAGTCTACCTAATGTACGGTGTTCAAGTTCAAAGTAACGTTCGTATATTTTAAAGAGTGCTTGATCTACAAGCTTGACAATTTTAAAGAGTGTTTAATTTACAATCACTTGAGCGGTGTTTAATCGACGTCGTTTTCTTCAGGTGTCCCGACCGTCGAGCGTACCTGGCAAAGTCGACTACCCACCCCCACCGGCGCACTCGAGGACCTCGAAGTCGTCGCTACCAGTCGGTAGTCTTCACGAGAAACCGCCGTCGGTGGTAGGGCCGTCGCATAGCTCTCTGCCAAAGGTGGAGCCAAACGTGGGCCTGTTTAGCTACTCGGCGTATCAACCGCAATCGTCGTACATGCACGACATCAAGGTGAAGAGCGACGTGGGCCAACCGCACAAGTCTATGCAGAGCAAAAGCGGGCTGGCCGGGGGACTCGAGAGGGACCATCACGGGAGGGAGGTGATGCAGAATCCGCCGTCGCTTCTTCAGGACCACAAGAGTTCGGTGATAGTAAAGAACGAGGGCCGAGAGCTGCCGAAGGTGCCAACATCGCAGCAACACTCGCCGAGCCCGAAGATCATGCCCTATCTGAACGTTCAATCGGTGGCCCCGCAGCACAAGCCGTACGAGTACAGAAGTCCCACCCAAAGTCCTCACCACCTTCATCACCTGGATGCTGGCTTACAGGCGTCGAAGAGCATACCTCAGGGCCACCACAGGAGCAGTAGCGGGCCTACCACTGCGACACAGTTACCCAGCCCACACGGGCATCCACCGCACTCGCACAATCGACAGTCACCGCACGCTCAGCATCCTCATCAACCACCTCATCCGTCGCCACCCGAACCGCGTTATCTCACCAGGCCGGAACCAGGTCTACCCTACGCCACCGCGAAGTCCTCGTATCCGTATCCACATCCTCATCCGCCCACGGCCTCGCCGACCTCGCATTACGCCACGCCGGCGGGCTCGAAGCCGAAAGTCAGCAGTCCAGCGCCACCTCACATCTACGGTAAACCCAATTCCGGGATCATGACGGGTACCCCGGTCTGCAGAGCCTCGGAACCAGCGGTAGCCGCACCTATTCCTCTCACGTCGAAAGCCGGCAGCTCGCCTTACCAGCAAGTGCCTCATCATCACGGGGCGCCACCACCGCCTCTGCCGCCGCCCGCTCACAGCAGATCCGTCTACGACCCAAGGGGTTTTCCCGGGTCCATGCAAGCTGCCAAGCTACCGCCACCTCTTCACGGTTCTCCTCCTACCGCCGCCTCGGCACCTCTCTCCAGGCCCATCGCTCACCCCGCTCATCACACCAGTCCTCACCAGCAACCAGGCCAACCGGTGCAGCACTCGCAGCCCCAGATGAACACCTCCTTCCAGACGCAGCCGCTCGACCTCGGCGTCGAGAGGTCTGGGTCGCCGAAGAGGAAGGCACCGACGCCTCTGTTGGCGGAAAATAACCCCGGGCAACCGGTGTCGCTCGAAGTCTACAAGAAACGCAGAACCGAGGAACCCCAACCGTTGTCTCTGCAGTGTGTAGGGCCACCTGTTCTCTCCAGAGTGAGCGAGCCGAGTCCGTTGATCGCCTCGGCCGCCACCTCGATCACCACCGTGGTCAACACGGCAGCTCTGTTGGCGCAACCTAATGCCCAGATGCAAGAACGAACCGTGACAGCGGTCAGTCCAGCGCCTAGAACGGCCAGTGGTGACGGATCCGTCAGACCCGCCAGCACGGGCAGCGTAGGCTCCCTGAACCCCACGATCAGCGCCGCGCCTAGCCCAGCGCCCATTCCCAGCCCTGCACCTTCTACGGCTCCGAGTCCAGCACCAAGTGCACCCGGCACCCCAGCCAAAACCAACCCTACCACGGTGGACAGCGAAAAGTCCAACAGTCCAGCACCCAGACCACCCAGCAGTACCAGTTACCCTGTTCACAAGTTGAAGAAGGCCTGGCTACAGAGGCATTCCGGCGAAGATGGCACGGAGGACACCACCGGCGTCGTCGGTAGCGGCTCGTGCGTCACCTTACCCCTCAACATTTCCCAAGCACCCTCGCAACCGCTCACCAATAAAGAACGCGACGCCTCGTCGAACAATACCAACGCGACCACTACGTGTTTGCCCAGCGCCGTGAACTCTATCCATAATATCGGTAGCATGGCGGTGAATAGTATCAATAAGAGCAAGGTGACCGCGAAAAGCGCACGCAAAACGGCGAACAAGGAGTCTCTCAACGGACACGCCACCGACTCGAAAAACTTGCAAGAAGATTCGTCCAGCAGCGACCCGGAAAGGAAGTCGCCGCCGAAAAGGAAGCCACCCAAGGTATCTATATGGATCGTAGATCGTATCCGTAGGGTGTTTCGTAACGTCATGCGTCTTCTGATAAATTGACAAAAATATTTTTACATACGTTACGAAACACCGTGCACAGTAGTCTTGGTTTTCCAAGGTCAAATGTTTAAATCTAGGAAAGCTGTGATTTCACCGTTGCACGTGTTGCGTTACTAGTGTTGCATGTGCAAATAGATTGTATCTCATTGATAACCAGTTCCTGTAAATAGGTCATGTTTATGTACAGTGTGTCGATTTAACAGATAAGCACAACTCTGTACTTTGCATGCACATACGTTTATCCCGTATCTTTTTCATTTCTACGGGCCACCCTGTACGATTGCATTTCTATTGATCCTCAGCCTTTCTTTATTTTCTGTGTCGAATATATTACTTAATTACACCACTTAGATTCGATATTACTCAGGTTTCAATCAGTACGTAAAGAACCTACAGAAAGATATATTTATTCTTCAAAAAGTTTCTCTTCTCTTTCTTTATGTAAATTATATATACAATTTTAATATCAAATTACTTTAGTATATGCTGGCATTTTCGTAGAATTTTACAAACGAATCGAGATTAATTTAATGTCTTGCTTTTCGAATAGACAGAAAGTTCACAAATTCAAAATAAACACGTACCCGTTGAGTCTTGTAATTCGATTCGGTATTTGAATTTTCCGCTTCGTTCGACGCCATTTTGATAACACGAGCCACAAGTAGAAAGGCGGTTTCCCTGCCGTGTATCTGCGTAGTTTGTTTTGCACAAATTAATCGAGTCTCGGTACAAATATATGTGTTTGACGTGTTCTTATGAATTGCGCGAGGATTGTGGTTCTCTATGGTTAAACATGGTAATATACGAAATACTTTTAACTAAAAATATTTCTCTTTCGAGGAAACATAACCTCTTTCTGCCTAGACGAGAACAATTGCTCTCGTCAATTCTTGTAACAAGTATTTGCTTTCATTTATCGTCGTTGAATCCTTTCGTGTTAATAATCTTCGATGAAGCAATCGTATACTTACTAAAAATATAAATAATTAGTACACGTAAACTTTTTCTCCAAGCATGGTCTATTGATCGGTTTTTTTCTTTCAATTTTGACTCCGATTATAATTTAAATCTACGATGCATGCAATGTTTTTATGGTAATAATTACGATAGTACTAAAGCAGAAGACATAAGTTGGTAGTTTTTTGGCAGTAGTTTCGGCAAGAGCATGAACTTCCTGACTACTTAATAATCTGTGCCCTGTGGTAGGTAAAACGAAAGAAGGGCGCCGCACGGAGGCAGCAAACTACCGCGGAAGATCAGCGGAGAAGAAAAGAAGACAAGCAAGGCGGAGGAGCTGGTGTAGGCAGCGAATCTAGCAACGAGAGCGAAGCAGGTTCTGCTAGCGACACCAGCGAACAGTTGGGTTCCGTTCAACCTGCATCGAGGGTGCGACATACAACGGCCAATTCCAACAATTCCTCGGGAAACGGTTAGTTGACGTAGCTTCTTGTAAATGGACTTCCCATCAGGTGAACTAACTATTTGCTTGCAGGGTAAGTGGTCCGCGTTCCATGGTCGTATGCTTCCTCCTTCCATAGAGCTGCTCGAGAACCTAAACAATTTTGGAAACTATTACAGTAAACTTTCTTTTATTTTCTTAGATTTAAAACATACGCCAAATTGTCCCGATATACGTTTTAGGTTCTCAGAGCTCTTGGAACCTTTGCAATCCTGCTTTACGCGCTTACCCTGTTTTTTAGAATACGTGTATTTATCCATATTTCGATACAATTGCAAAACTGATGACAAATAAAAATTGATGTCTATGAAAGATAATATCACGAGCTTTTTAACACTGAATATATACATATCATTTACATAGACATCTAAGGGTAGCATTAGCCAATGATGTTTAAATAGATCCCATTCTTTGTTTAATAGGAAATAATAAGGAACCCAGGAAGCGAGGTAGAAGACCAAAGACTACGAAAGGTAATGAAATAGGAGGAGAAGATCAACAACCTCGTCAGAAGAAAGAACGTAGAGACGACAGTGCAAGCGGTGGTAACAATGGGCCAGGGGGAAGCGGCGGCAGGGGTGATCCCTTTCGTAGACCTCCGATATCACAACTAAAGAAAACTGGTGACAGCTGGTTGCAAGACGGCGCTTGCTTCGAAGTCGCAGCAAAATTGGCAAAATGTCGTGAGTGCAGATGGACACCGCACCAGCGCTCAAAAAATCTTCCACAAAATATTTTCTGCAGATTTTATGCATTCCGTAGATTACGGTACACCAAAAATGGACAATTGGCTATAGCAGGATTCAGCGATCCGCACAAGGACGCGTCCGAGGTACATACGTAGAATTGGAGTATTATTTTAAATCCAAGACGGAGTTTTACAGGAATAAAGCGAACAGCCGTTGTCGTTTTGATGTTACAGGTAGATCTTCGATTATGGTTACCAGGAAAAGAGAGTTCGGATACGAAGAAAGATGAGAAATCCGACAAGAATGATAAAGAGAAAGGAGACAAGGAAGACTTAGACCTGGAGATGGCTCACAGATTGCTTCGTCAAGTTGGCGATCAGTTTTGCGATCTCCTGCATCAAGAAAAAGATGCTCTTCAACAGCACAAGGCAGAAGGTAAATATTGTTCGATATCCAATAAAAAAAACCTACGCAATTATCGATCGATCAAAGTAGTTCTCTTACACTTCACGATACACCGCGAAAAAATGTATATCTCTCTTTACATCTATTTACGCATGATTCATAATTTTAATGTTGGAAAAATAAAGGATAAACTATCGTTATTATATCCGTGTAACTTAATAATACATCGAATAAACTCACATCGAAATTTTTGTTCTATCGCATGTATCTACATATTCATACGTTTGCTTTTTTCAATTTCCTTTGATCGCATGATTTAACGCTTTGCGTATCGATTGTTTCTTCACCTTGACAGCGAATTCGGGACTTGTAGACGGAACGGTAGCTTGGAAACGAGTGGTTCAAGGCGTTCGAGAGATGTGCGACGTTTGCGAAACAACCCTTTTCAATTACCACTGGGCTTGCGGTAAATGCGGTTTCGTTGTGTGCATCGATTGTTACAAGGTAAGGACGTTTGTAATTCTCATGTATCTCTATATTCTTTCGCAGTGCAACTAATACGTGATGTAAAATAATTAATTGAAAACCCATGATATAATATATATCGAGCTTTTTAACACTGAAATTACAGTCAATGTTACTCGATAGATCTTCGATTTCGAATCGCAAAAATTTAACCAAATATTGAAATATTAATAGGGTCGCAAAAATGGAACGATCAAGATCTGGGGTGAAAGTGGAAAGGACAGGGACGACTTTTCGTGGTTGTTGTGCACCAACAGACAAGTACACGAACCCGAACGCCTGATGCTCACGCAAATTATCGCTGGTGATAGCTTGATCCGTCTCGGACAACGACTTCACGAGTGTCGAGCAGAGTGGGGAATACCTCAACACTGCGGTTGTTCGTTGGTTGTTCAAACATCTGCCAACGAGTATCTTCGCAACATGATAAAGGGTGACACGATGCCGGTTCTGAACGGGAACGTTAAGCAGGAGATCAAAGAGGAGAAGAAAATGAACGAATCGAACGGATCGTCGGAGAATAAAACAAACGGAGAGGATAAGAACTCGCCGTTAAATTGGCTAGCGGACGTAGCGTTACAGAATCAGGACAAGAACGAAAGCGCTTCGAGCTCAGATTCGGACGAAGATCGGGATGGCAATTACTCGACTTTGCGGGAATTGCTTATCCGGCCTTCCCACAAGTCGAACGGAAACGGCTCTAGATCAAATTCGCCGACAAATAATTCCGGAAACGTTAACGCCGCGTCTGGAAACAATGCGCCGAACAACGTCGCAAAGTCTGGCAAGAAATCGAAAATGGACACGCTGGATGAGGTGATATCCAGCGTGATAGAACATAGTGTGAAAAAGGAGAGGGAAGGTGGACTGGACGACGAGAAACCAAGGGAGTTGAAGCATTTCGTGAGAAGGTACAAGTGGACACAGAAAGGAAGAGAGCCGTTACCTATCAGAATCATGACGCTCACCGAAAGCAAAAGTCTCTACCCGGATGTGCCGCACTCGTGGCTCTGCGACGGAAAATTGCTCAGGTTAAACGATCCGAATAATCCCAACAATTATAGAATATTTCAAGATCAATGGAAACGCGGACAGCCGGTCATCGTGTCGGATGTCGCCAAGGCTTTGGATATGGATCTCTGGCATCCGGATTCGTTCGCCAGAGACTTTGGCGACGAGAAGAACGATCTTATCAACTGCATGACTGGGAATCTGGTACCGAATCAGCCGATGCGCAAATTCTGGGAAGGATTCGAACACTTCTCCAAGAGACTAAAGGACGAGAGAGGGAATCCGATGTTGTTAAAATTGAAGGATTGGCCACCTGGCGAAGATTTTGCCGAATTGTTGCCATCAAGGTTCGCCGATCTGATGAAAGTTCTGCCATTGTCAGAGTACACACATAGAAACGGAAGGTTAAATTTGGCTAGTCGTTTACCGGACTGCTTCGTCAGACCTGATCTGGGACCTAAGATGTACAATGCTTATGGTTCGGCGCTACATCCGAACAAGGGTACGACTAATCTTCATCTAGATATTTCCGATGCCGTTAACGTGATGGTTTACGTTGGAATTCCGAAAGATACCGACAACGACGAACATGTCAAAGGTACGTATACAGAGGATCAGAATATTGATCAAATATGTAAACTACAGTTGTACTTTAAAATGAAAATTTATTTAACAATAAATTATGTTTGATCGTTACAGAAGCACTGAGGGCGATAGACGAAGCAGGCTGTGATATCCTGACGCGACGACGCGTTCGCGAACGCGGTGAAGCACCCGGTGCATTGTGGCACATCTATGCAGCGCGAGACGCCGACAAGATTCGAGATTTATTGAACGCTGTAGCGCTGGAACGTGGGGCTCGTTTAGAGCCTCATCACGATCCTATTCACGATCAGAGCTGCTATCTCGACGGACCTTTACGAGAACGCTTGTACCGCGAATACGGCGTCGAAGGGTAAATATTATTTTGATGATCGGTCGATCATGTTTATCGCCAGTGTCCATAGTTAGAGAAATAATATTTGTTCTTCCTCGTTGCAGATACGCTATCGTGCAGTGTCTAGGTGACGCAGTATTCGTGCCAGCCGGAGCGCCACATCAAGTTCGTAATCTTCACAATTGTATAAAAGTAGCAGAGGATTTTGTATCGCCGGAGAATGTTTCCCATTGTTTCCATCTCACGCAAGAGTTCCGTGCGTTATCGGACACTCATACAAATCACGAGGACAAGCTCCAGATCAAGAACATCATCTACCATGCCGTGAAAGATTCCCTGACCGTACTGGCAAACATCAAGGAAGAGACTCTTGCCAAACCGAAGACCAACAACGAAATAAAGAAGGAAGAGACGTAGCCCTAGGCCCCCTGTCGCGGTCGCAAGAACCGTTGTTGATCCGTTGTTCGACTAAAATCTCGCTCTAACAAGCGAGTGCAATCTGTTGCCGCTCCTCCGTGCTCTTCCGAACGTCTTATCAGACCGGGATGACGGGTGGATCTAATAATTTAAGATGCTCCGGAAACCTGTACCGAGGTGCAAGAATTTGTTGTGATATTTGACGAGTAACTCAAAAGTTTCTTTTTCGGTATTGGCTGAGCCAATGGAGGAATAGAGATACGAGAGAGAGAGAGGAAGAGAGAGAGAGAGAGATTATTCGTTGTATCATTTGAATTTCCTTTTTACATATTTCTTTTTCCTTTTTCTATGTAAATGTGTGCTGGCGGACATGAAGTCCCCGCGAGTATTTTCATTGAAGTATGGAGCCGGTGACACACGAAAACGCACCGCGGCGTCCATTTACCATTGTGATACCAGGAGGAGGACTTTGGATCATACATTATTTGTAATTACTTATATCGTGCCTGTATTCAATACATACTGTCTATATTATATAAATGTAGATAATCGATCTTTATTGTGTAATGAATTCTTACTATAGTAACTACGAGAAGATTGTCTAGAGGTACCTTTGTGCAATTAGATGTCGATTAAAAAATTGTTAGCTGGATCAGTGATAATTGTCGATCCCGTTACCGTGCTCTCGTGATCTGGTGCTTTTGGTATCGATTACAAAAGATAAAAGAGAAAGCAAGCGCTTTGCCGAATGGCCGATATATGTTTCTCGCTAGATTCTTGTGTTCCACGCGATAAGAGCGCAAGAGTGAAAACACTGCCTATAACCCGTTATTTGCGTCTGTCCAGTTAAATGTTAAGAAATTTCGAGTTCTTGCACGTCAAGTAACATTAACGTGTATAATCTCGTTGCAGTGTGGTTTTCCGGGAGGGGGGGGGGGGGATATACGTATACAGAGATTTCGGTTTGTCTTTCTTCTTTGAAAAATATATCGGCTATACCGTGCAAAGTATGTTCGAAAGGTTTGTATAATGGTCGTTTATAACAGAGGCATCAGAACAAAAATAACAAACGGAAAACAAGGCTAAAAATCTATCGATACACGCTATCCTCGCGCGATACTAGATCGATCGAGATTTATAGACTTCGTTGAATTTATCGTTTTTATAGATTGGATTGATGTGGCCCAGTGATGACCCAGTAATAAGGGTGCGCGGAAAAAAAAAGTGAAAACGAGGGAGGGGAAAAACATGTTATTTTTGTCAAATCACGGAAAATAAAGAACTGTCTGTCCGATAGAACAGCGATATTCTAATTGTATTGTAATTAATAACTATAGTAGCATTATTTAACGCGAGGTGTGAAGGAGTAACGATTTTCGAAGTGCCAATGTTTTGAACGACGTGAACATTCTCGCGTGTTTGCACGTTGTGTATCGTACGCGTAGGTAGGGAAAAGGATGGAAACGGAAATGATGGAAGAAAAATGAACGCGAAGAAACAGATTTAGTCATGCAGAATCTACAGACGAGAGAAGCCGAGTTCCTATCATTCAACTTTTCACATAAAGACGACGAATCAGTGTTATTCGCTACGCGCTCCGTCACAACGTCTGAATTCGAAAACTGTCGCCGACCTCGTCGATATCGTGTTCCCCCAATTATATCTTTTTAAACTCCTAACGCGGGAACGTACTAACAATTACTGTACGTTCACGGTTCGTCCGTTTCGATGATCTTAACAAAGGAAAAGAAGAGGAAGGCAGCAACTTTCGAGGACAGATGAATCTAATTTAGCGTGACGCTGCGCGATTTGCGCGTTCACCGATCGTCAAACGTTCACTGCGGCTGGTAATTCTCGAGACCGACGTTATGAAATAAGACAAAGAAGAAGAAACCCGAAGAACAAATCACTGGAATCCTGGAACCCGCAATTTCTTTGATCTCAACATTCGTCTAGCATACAACGACTTGATTAAATAATATTTAATGAGTAAATTTTTAAATATCTTAGTGTCGATAAGAGTAACGTTAATATTACGGGAATAATAAGTAACGAACAGCAAGAAAAAATATGGAAGAAGTACCCTTATTGATTCACGAGCGAGGACGATGACGACGATGACGACGATGACGACGATGACGACGATGGCGACGACGACGACGACGATGACGATGACGATGATGATGATGTATAAAGTTATAGAAAGGAAAGAAGGAAAGCATGCTCTGCGTACTATTGCTGCAGACAAAGCTATTATTTGTTCTCTCCGCTACGTGTATGTAAATACATTTATATATACATATATAAATACGAGGAAGCTTAGGATTAAGGGATACACACTCCACGAATATGGACAAACAACAAAAAAAAAGAAGGATACACTTTACACGCGTAGATAGATAGTTTATTATACCATTATTAATTATTATTATTAATTATTATCATTATTACGATTAATTATTACGGAAGAATACCGATATTTAAATGTTGCTGAACTACGCGGCAAAAAAAGAAGCACGATTACGAACAAGTGTTGTAGTGTAAATGAGAGAGTGAGTACGTTTCGAAACGATTGCTTGTATGTTGCGTTTGCGTGAACGCGAGCGTGTGTATGTGTGTGTTGTTTTTTTGAGCGAACTTCCGGAAGGATACGCGAGAGAACGAGGGGCCGTGCATTGGGGGCGGAGTGGAATGGATGATGAGACAAATTGTACAGCCCTTAGCTCCTATCGAAATCTATCCACCCCCAAAAAGTCCCGCACCACCCCACCACCAGCCGCCCCAAGTCATAGCAATTATGAACCGCGGGCCGGCAGGTCTGAGTATAATTTTTTGTACTGTGTAAATGTAAGAACATACGTTTGAATAAGAAAAATGTTTATATTACAAAAAAAAAAAAACAATGGTCGTCTATTTGTATTCTTTTCGGATCTTATCTGATACAAGTCTTTGTACATTGATTGATAATACTACGATGGTATTATTTCTATTAATTATAAAACAATTCAAATTTCAATCTACAAGCGGCATTTCATGGGATGCCGAATGGGATCATCTATTCAATGGTGAGCAGGTAGAACAAATCTATTTAGTCAACGATACCTTTTAGTCAATTACATCTTACTTTTCGCAAAAAAATGTTTGATTAGTACAATTCCTTGCTTTATAATATCACGATATATTAGTTAATATGCCAAATATATAATTGTAAATCATTGTCGATGGTGGCGCCATCGGTGGGAAAACGCCCAAGCTTGTAGTGTAAATAGTTCCCATCGTTTCTATAAGATGGCGCCATAATAACTTTTAGTCGATTATTCTTTATTTTTCATGAATGCACAAATAATGCGATTCTTTGCTTTATAGTATTACAATACATCAGTTAAAATGCCAAATTTACCATTCTTATGAAGTATTAATTAATGCAGCTATAATTACCGACCTTTTAATATCACTGGTGCCATCGGTGGAAAAACGCTCAAGCTTGTGGCGAAAATAGTTCGCACTGTTGCTGCTAGATGGCGCGTCTAACTAATAGTTTGTGGGAACGCGCCTTAATGCTCTACTCCCACTGCTTCCTGGTACATTGTCCCTTAATTTCCTTACACATTTCCTTTTAATTTCGACCCATTTTCTGGTATATTTCCCTTTAGTTTTTCTCTATTTCCTGGTCTATTTTCCTTTAGTTTCTTTTCATTTCCTGGTATATTTCTCTCCATTTCCTTACACATTTACCTTTAATTTCCCTCCATTTCTTGGTATATTTTCTGGTATATTTCCCTCCATTTCCTTACACATATTTACCTTTAATTTCCCTCCATTTTTTTGTATATTTCCTGGTATATTTTCTAGTATGTTCCTAGTTTCCCTTTAATTTCCTAGTATGTTTTCCTTCATATCCTGGTACATTTCCCTATAATTTCCCCCTATTTCTGTGATATTTCCCTATAATTTCGTTCCATATCTGTGATATTTCCTGGTTTAACAATGTTGCAAAAGTCGAGTCGATTTTTCTCATTTTGTCACATCTTGCCGAACTTTTGAGTTGCAACATTGTTGATTACTGCGGCCAAGGATTTGCAACATTGTTGAACTTGCAACTTTGTTGAATTCCCGTGCGAATCTATTTGCAACATTGTTGCAAATTTTGGAAATTGCTACGATCAAAATTGCAACAAAGTTGCAAGTTCAACAATGTTGCAAATCGATTCTCACAGGAATTCAACAAAGTTGCAAGTTCAACAATGTTGCAAATCGATTCTCGC